TTTCTGGGAACCATTTCTAAGAACCGAATCATTCCCCTAATGGCGACATGATCACCCAAACAACAGTATGATTACTTAAAATTTCGCCAAAGATACCTGCTACATAATATGTCAAACGCTTACTGTATAATCTATGTGAAAGCTACTAAAACCGGTACAAGATTTATCCTACCCATAAAACATTATGGCAGTAAAATATTTTATGAAATTACAATTTTTTTTTAGAAAAAATATCTTACTGTAATTAGTTCTATAGCATTAACGTCTAATAAATGTTGTTTCAAGAAATTGTATATCAATTTGAAACTTGAACTTTCTCATATTTCAAACAAAAATGTGAATATAAATTGTTCCAGTTTATATAGAATTAAGATAACATCTTTTGTTTTTTTCAGCACTTCCTACTGCCGATGTTGACGTCGCATGCTTAGATCAAAACAGATACCCTAGGCACAGCACCATCACCTGCACATGTGTACAGACCAGTCCTGGAAACCCACCGGGATCAGTTCAGTGGTTTCACGAGAACGGAAGTGTGGTGACCTCTACTGTAGGGGTCAATAAATCACTCACACTTACAGTCGAGTATCAAGATAGCGGTGGGTTCACTCTAACCATTTTGTCGTACAATGGAACATGTGATTCTGGTTGAGTGGGGTAGAGCGGATGGAGCATGTATGGACCTGAGCAGTGATATGGACAGAAGTTGGTCGTTGGTATATGCGTGTGTGTGTGTGCATGTGTTTGTGTTTGTATGTGTGCGTGCGTGCGCATGTGTATGTTCAAAGCTTAAAAGTTGTATTAACTGAAAGCGATACGAACACACCGACCACAAGGGCTGTAACTTACCATGGGAGTGTTGTCATTCTGACGATCCATGGGATCGTGGGTTTAGCCTCATAACAACCCGCTCATTCAACTCCCTAAAAACTTGACACAAGTAGCGGCCACTAAAGGCTGAGCACGGAGTGTGTCGAGTTCACGATAACAAGTACCATGGCTAAACTTCATGCCTGACATTGCTTTAACACTATACGTTTAACCCCATACGTTTAAACCCATACGTTTAAACCCATACGTTTAACCCCATACGTTTAACCCTAAGGATGCAGTTCTCCTGTTACGTGTTTCTTGTCAACTTTTTAAATGACAAAAAAGGCTATTCCTTGAAAGATAAATCGAGCTACATATATGTTATAAAATATTGAGTTTTTAATAATATGGACAATGCTATTGAATGAGCACAAATACGACATTCCAATGAAAGACGTAAGTCTCTTGGCTAGAGACATTTTTTTTTTAATCTGACCACACAATAAAAAAAACAATCCGCATTTGTAGTAATTTTAGAGAATTTTTGTTTGAACATTTCCCCAGCTGATGAGCAAACATTTAGGTGTAGAGGCGTGTCCACATTAGGACAACAGTATCCTGGAGTTATATTCAAGCCCAACTTTCAAAGTTTGTTCTCTTAGTATTATCTATCATCTAGTTTATGAATTTAGAAATTGGTACTTTTAAAAAGGTTTACTTTTGAAAATTGAATTTATAAAAAAAAATACAACATCTTTATAACTATAACATTGCCTTGCTCTGTATCTCCAATATTTCAGTCGGAGCTTTTGTATCCAACTTCACCGCTGATACATCGACAGGACAGATGACAACAGGCAAGGTAAAATTAATTTGTTTTGCTGGAGGAAACCCGCTTCCAAAGTTGACCATCTCCAGAAGACATAACAAATCTGTTGAGACAACAGTCAGCTCCACAAAGAATCTAAGTCTATCCATACCAAACGTGAAGTGTCAGGATATTGATGAGTACGTGTGCGATGCTGACAATGGTGTGGTCACAACAAGAGAAAAATCAAAAACTTTTCGGTTGTTTATTAATTGTGAGTTTAGTTTTTTTGTCCATTTTAAAAATAAAATCCGTTAGTTGTAAGGTATGGCATTGCATATAGTTATCACTATTGAGGGTCACTAAGGCTGCGAAAGTCTATTATCTTTCAGGCAATCTATAACTCTATTTGTCTAGAGCTCAAAAATATTTTTGTTCGTAATGTGAAATTTTTCTTTATTTCTTGTTTCACATGGAAGGCGTGGTCGGGTGGGAGAGCGCACTAATGCTAAACGAACCCACGAGTTCGGTACCACGACTTGTGTCAGTGACTGATTCCATACAACTCTGATGGGTACCTGACTTGAGTTAGCGGAAGTAAAGGTTACTGGGAATGTCACGACTGGCATTCGCGTATCGTTTTCACATAAATAGACCTGATGTACTCGTATTAACATAGCTTCGTCCGATGGTTAACTTCACTGTTAGTTTCGTATCGAAACATTTGGATTAAGGGGGCGCATCGATGAACTAAGCTTGAAAAATCATGGTCGACCTCGGAAAATTCATTTTTTTTTTTTTTTTTTTTTCTATTACTTTAACCACTTATAAACATAATATACTTATCAAATTTACAATAAAATATAGTTTTTACACTTGTTTTTGCATTTGAAGTGGGTATGTGTGTGTAAAAAATGTATTTCACCCCGATATACGCCCATCACAACGATGTGTAGCGAGATCTACACACCGTAGTAAGCCTAGCTTACCATATATCAAAATGCGCGGAATTTCGAGGTCAGTCTAGCTAGCCTAAGAACATTGACCTAGTTCTAAATATAGTATTTCAAAACACGCAATGAAAGTGTGCTTCAAAATGGGAAGAGTCATGTATCTATTGGTCAATAGATGTCACATGACGCTTCTGTCTAAAAATCCCGTGCGCCAAACTCAATTTTGCTAACTTTTGTCAGGAAGTTTCGGCGGTGTCCTAGGAGATGCTATTTTTAGCCGAGCTGTAGATATATTTGCACCAACTTTCACTTTCTACTTTTTGAATTATTTTTCGTTTCTGGAATTTATTTGAAGGTAAATTATGAATTTTTCAATTATTTCTATTCCTTTATCAAAGTATAAACGGTAAAATCACGATATAGCGTCGGAAATTATTGGGTAATGTTCGTTGAGTTTCGGTAACATTCGTTACTGTAAACCATACTTTATTTGACCGGTGAAAGAAAAATAAAGTCAAGTGCATTAAATTAATGTTTTAACTTAATTTAATGTTTAACTGACAAAAAATTAGCAACACTTAGTAAATCTAAATATTATTAATAAAGTCGAGTGTAGTAATTAATGGTTTTTTTAAAGAAACAGATAAAATCTGCAGAAGATTTGCGACAACCAGCTCTAGATCTAGTTCTGTTAGTAAATAAGACGATTAGGCTAGATTAACTAAAGTTAAAAGTAGTAAGAATAACTAGAATAATGTTTAGTAGCAGCAATAATTAGCACTTACACTTAAAATAGTTAGAAATACAAAATAATTAGGAAAACAGTATTTAAAATGCAACTAAAATCAATCCTTGCACATTTTTAAACATTATGTACTAAAAATAATATGGCGGCAAATAAATGATGGTTTACAGTATTTCCGGTGGTTTCCGGAACGGCTCGACAGACTACGCCATGGTTTTACTGTTTTTTACTGCTGTACAGTTCCGGAATAATAACCGACGCTATATCGTGATTTTACCGTATAAACTATAGTTTTATCTTAGATGCCAGATTTTACGTAGATTTTGATGTAGATCTAGTAACTTTATTACGTAAACTAGATCTTAGTCTTAGGCTCTTAGCCTAGCTATCAGTAATCAGTATCAAAGGCTGAATGTAATCAATGTATGCAGATAATGTGCATACCTTTTAGTACGTTGTGATTATTTTTTTAAAACAGCTTATACATTATTATGACTTGTTTTACAGATCTACAATGCCTGCACAAAAGTTGTATGCAAAAAAGGGACAGGCTTCCAGAAAGCAGAAGGCTACATTGAAGTACATTGGCTAAGGCTTGTGCTACCAAGCAGCAAAAATCAGCTCTTGCAGGATCTACTGCAGATCCAGAGGCTGCTGGTTCAAGCACAACTACTGCTGCCACTACATCAACTGCTGCCACTGCATCAATTGCTGCCACTTCACCCACTGCTGCCACTTCACCCACTGCTGCCACTGCATCAATTGCTGCCACTTCACCCACTGCTGCCACTGCATCATCTGCTGCCACTGCATCAACTGCTGCCACTGCATCATCTGCTGCCACTGCATCCACTGCTGCCACTTCACCCACTGCTGCCACTTCACCCAAAGCTGCCACTGCATCAACTGCTGCCACTGCATCATCTGCTGCCACTGCATCCACTGCTGCCACTTCACCCACTGCTGCCACTTCACCCAAAGCTGCCACTGCATCAACTGCTGCCACTGCATCATCTGCTGCCACTGCATCCACTGCTGCCACTTCACCCACTGCTGCCACTTCACCCACTGCTGTCACTGCATCAACTGCTGCCACTGCATCATCTGCTGCCACTTCACCCACTGCTGCCACTGCATCAACTGCTGCCACTGCATCCACTGCTGCCACTACACCCACTGCTGCCACTACTCCTACTACTGGATATACAACCATCCCCACAGTGGTCAGTGCCTCCAAGAGAAAACTTAGCATGTTTTCTCAATGTGAAGCACCTCAAGCTACTACAGTAGGAGGGCTGGTCATTGTAGACCTGGCTGAAGTAAACGCCCTCTTTTCGGCAGCTCAGTGCAGTACATGTCAAGGGCCCTTGCAACTTATTTTGACTGGACGCAAGGGTCTAGCACATCAACTGCAAGTCAGCTGCAGTGTGCAACTCCATAGCAGCAGGATCAAGCTCCAATATGAGTAGCAGCGACAGGTGTTATGATATCAACAAGAAATTTGTCGCTGCTTTCCTCAACATAGGATTAGGCTATGCTGCTATGGATAAGTTTTGCAATGCCATGGCCATTGAAGGAATGACAGAGTCATCATACTGCAATATCCTGAACAAAATATCAATTTCTTCAAAACTATAAAATAAAACAGAAAACTTTTAGAAATACATTTGTTGAGATAAAATTATTTATTCTGAATAAGATTAATTTCCTATTTTTTAAAAGAAAAATCTTACATTTTATAATACAAGAAAGAGAAAAATAAAGTAAAATATTATAATACTTAAAGTGCTCACAAAAATAAGGTGAAATTCTTGTCAGACTAATTGCTATTTGTAAGTGCAAAAATAAAAATGTATATACTCCATATTGGAAAAATAATCAATAAACCAGATAATTTTATTTTAAAGATAATACTTTAGAAGATAGACCTTTAGTCATGAAGCATTTGTAGATATTTTAATGCTGAGCATGTAATTTACCAGCTTGATTATGTATTTGATATGCCAGATTTTTTAACCATGTGTATCACAAGACAATTTACAAAATAGATGTTTTGGCTTGATTGGCAGGGATCACAGTAAACATAATTCATTAACCATGTTGGCGAAAATACTGATTATCACTAAGAAATTCATTACCTGGGTTTAAATGGATATTTCATTACTCTGAGCTCATAATATTTAAATAATACTTTTATGAAATAAATATACATGATGACATTGTACAAATTAGAGCACCCACACCTCAAAGCACACTAACATAGCTAACATAGAGAAATGACCATTAAAGTACTCAATGGTAACACAGCACCATTCACAACTTTTACAAAGAATAACGTCCATTCATGCACACTGTATTTGTTTACATAGAACTATGCACTCAATAAAACACTGGCCACTGAAAAATTAAACAAGAATCAGCAAAATGTAAAGAGGAAATAACAGATGTTTTTGGCACAAGAAGCTTTCAATTATTTTTGTTGATTTAAAATTTGACATTGTAAATAGTTGATTTTAATATTTTTACATTCATATTGAGCAAATATAAATATAATTTTTAAAATAATACATTGATTTAATACTGAAAGAGTTTTAAAAAATTAATGTGGTTCATACTTTCTTCTTATAAGTTAAAAAAGATGGCTAAATCAAATATTTATTTTCATGAATTGCAGAATGCTTTTTGGTCATGAATGCTAAAATACTGATATGAATACTTATGATCTTGAATACTTCCATTTGATATTTAGCAGATACATAAAATATCTCCAAAATCCATTTAATGAAGTTATAGTTTGAACATTCAACATGAATAATGATCCAATTGGTACAGAAAGAAGGAAAATAGAAAAACAGGGTTCACTAAAAAGTTTTTCTAAAATGATATTTGACATGTAATAAAAAAGATAAATTGTTTCTAAAAATTGGAAGATATTTCTCTTTAAATGTACAATAATTGAGACAAAATACTTATAAAAATATATAATGTATCACAGACAGTGTTAAAAATACTGTATGAAAACATAGCTGAAAATAGACCAACAAAAAAGTACATCAAAGCATAAACATCGTGCAAAAACAATACAATGATTTTTACAATAAGATTTAAATTTCTCTTTCTTAATTATAAATGGGTATTTAAAAATTTTAAAAACCTTTTCTAAACAGTTATCAAAGATTCTTTAATAAAATTCAACTCAGTTTAATCATTTGTAAAATATCTTAAAACAAAGACATATTCCTTTCTTCTATCATTCCTTAGTGTAACTGTCCTAATGAAATGACAACAAACAACTGCTAATACTTCTTGGGGATATCAGCTGGGTTTATGACAGGTTTCAGTAGAGGTTTGGCAGGCTGCCACGTCTCTAGTTGTTTGACTTCCTCCACTGCCTCATGGTGCTGCTTTATCTCTGTCTTTTGTCTGTAAGTCTCCCTTGGTTGATTGAAAAAAATGGAATCAGAAAAACTAATTATGTTAAACACAATCTTTTACTAGTAAAGATTCCTGTTTAGACTTAACAATCCATTAGGCAGATGAAGTAGAGTTCATATGTTTCTTGAACCCAGCTTATGAAGGGACAATGTGGTCAGCACAATGCCCGACCACCTTTACTTTCCCTTACATGAGTTAGGTATAAGTCAGAGCTAGATGGACTCAGGAATGTTCAAATAACTTGGACCTGGATTCGAACTGAAGACTTTCGGGTTAGCATACTTGCGTTCCAACGCTAAGCCACGCCAACCCACAATCTTTTACTAAACATACTGAGTTTAGCTACTTTAGTAAACCCAGAAGGAAGTCATCCATAAATTATGTTGCATCAGAGTATCCAACTCCCACCCCATCATCTTGAAACATCACTAAACATCACTCGAGCCCACATCTCTCACAAGTCACCCGACATCATAAAAACAACACCAGTCCCCTCCCTGTGTGTGTAGTGAGTGTAGAGGCAGCATTTACAGATGAGCCCAGTGACATTGCTCAATCACAAAATAAAGATAGGACCAGGGCTGAGTTCTTTGCTTAGAAAACTTTATAATTATTTAGAGTGTCTAACTGTTAATATTTATTTAGCTAACACATTTTATGTAATAATAAAATCACTCACTTTTTTATCTGTGGCAAAGGTATAAGTGGGACAAATGTGTCTGCTTTTCTTTTAAGTATTGGCGAATAAGGAGAGTTTCCAATGCTTCATTAGAATACAAATTGAAAATGTTTGTTTCAGCAAGAGAGAATAAGCAGAATTTGTGTAAAGCTTTGTATTATTCAAAGTATCTTTAAAACAACAAAGTCAATTCATAAAAAAGTCAATAATTTAGAATAATAGAAGTTCATGTTTACAAAAAGTTTTAATGTAACAAACTAGAGAGCTTTAAAATAAAGAGTGAATTTTAAATATCTCATAATTGAGATCAAATTTTAAATTGAATTTTACTTGAAATTAAAAATTAATATTAATTTAGAAAAATAAATATTTTAAAAAGTTTTCTGTATCATATTAATAGTTAACGTTTGAGCTTTTAGTGTCAATTATTTTTGCTAGAGTTACCTACAGCCTACACATTTATTTACCTGAACTTAGGTATATGACTATCTTCTGTGGCTTTATAAAAGCTAGGTGAATATTCAGGAACTTGATAGCTTTTATCACCTGGTGAGGCTTCACTTAGAGAATTGCGCTTGTCAATTACATTTTCTGATCAAATAATATTTAAACAATAAAAATAAAGATAGATGGGTGGAATTAGTTTACTATTTATTTGTTGTAGGTTAGAAATAATTTCAAATTCATATAAAACTGATGCCAGAAACTGGTTAAACAACGGTTTCTTCTAATCCTTTTTTTTTTTAAAATAATTCCTCATGTAAATTTTAAAGGTAAAATAAGTCTAACCTTGTCGACCTTTTCCAAACAAAATGGAATCTGACATCTCATTGTCAGATATCAAAGTTGCTTTATGCACACCATCAAACACACACCTGAGCCCAACTCTTTTGTGACCAGGATCTAGAAGCCACTCTTCTTTAGATCTTGAGTATGTGACTGACAAAAAAATTTTTTTATTAGTTTAGCACACATATACAAACAAGCTTCAATAAAGCAATTTCAATTAAACCACTAAATTATTTAGACTAATGTAATTCTAATATTCACAATAAGTAAGTTGTATATTTTAATACTGTCAGTATAATCGCTCAGTTACTAAAACATATTACTGAAATTAAAAATCCATCTAATGAATGACATGTCAAGATTTTTGTAAAAGCATATAAAATCATTTAAAGTTAGCAAGTTTGGCAGTGACTTTTATAAAGTATTTTAAAATAGATTGCATTTGAAGATTTTTCAAGAGGTCAAACAAAAAAAACATTTAACTGAAGTCGTTTAACTGTTATTCGTTTGTAACAGGAGACTGTTGAGTTTGATGTGAAAATTAAACTCCTTTCATGCATGGGTTACTATGACACTTACATAAGATTTACTAAAACAATGAAGAAAAACACTTATGTACATATAAGACACCAACTTATATTTTATTTATAAACCTACAAGGGTAAGCCCTCATCTTTTTCCAGTTGTCTGGCCAGATCTCAGCTGCTGGGTACTGGGGATTTTCTGGGTGAGGAATGTATTTCAGCCGGGAACTCCAATCAGGGCCAACTCTTGCAAAAAGAAAATCAAAATTTAAATATGCCTCAGGCAATGTGAGAGCATTTGATTGCTTACTTCAAAAGTCCTGAGTTTGAACCTTACAAGTAAGAGTAAAGATGAAGAAAAGAAAAACATGCATAGGTGAAACACCCAACATTTTATAACGTGTAATTAAACATATTTGGGGACTAATTAATACATTATTTATATGAAAGTTAAACAATAATTCGGATGTTATTCACATAAGATCTTTAATCTTGATATTGTAGATAGGTTTTTATTTTAAACACATACTCTGTGTATTCAACATTGATGTTTAGGTTGTGGGGTCTCCATTCATCTTCTTTCCCAGAGTTATGTGGAATGTATCGGCGACCTCTAGGCTTGTTCGGCACCAGTGGTCCAGGCTGGTTATGGTTTTCAGGGAAGTGCCGCTTCTCTCTTTCTGAAAAACACCAAAATTTAATAAAACTAAATTTTATTAAAAATTAAAGTGACTTAAACTTAAAATCGATATATTTATTCTCAATGTGTTTAACTTAAACTATGTTTCAGCAGGAACAATGTAGCTGAGTTATACTTTGGTCATGGTTTCCCAAGTACTTATCATAACATACTACTTACACTGGAAAATAAGACCATAATTGCCTTAAATCAGTCTGTGACTTAAATTAATTAATTTAGTAGATAACTTATAAATCTATTTTATATAATATAAAATATAATAGGAGTTTTAGATGTATAATTACCCTTAGATTGTTAGGAGTATTGTAATCTCACATCTAGTTTTATGGTTAGAAAATAGGTCTAGGTGTATGGTAGGACTAGGGTTGGGGTTAGGGATAGGGTTAGCTTTGACATTAGTGATTTTTTAGTCAAATGTGTATTTTAGTTCCCCACCTCTAACAAAACACCCCCTTTTTAAGAAGAATCTATTACTGTGCTATTTTCAGACACTGTATTACACCATGTAATAATATAATCATTATAAAAAATATGATAATACTTTAAGTTTTTAAGTCTTTTTAATAGACCTTCTTTAATTGTATGCTTTCTACTAACTTATATTTATTAATATTATATAATATTAGCCAAATTGGCTATTAATAAATAATTACTAATTATTATTATAGTTAAAGTATATAATTATAGCATTTCGTTATTCATTATATTAAATATTATAATTATTTATTATTATTGAATAATATATTTAAATTTAATTAGATTATATAATATATAATTATTCAGCAGGCCTAGCGGATTATTTTTTTAAGTTTCTTTTTTTAGTAAAGGTTGAATTAAATATACTTTTACCGTGCCGTCCAGGCTTTCCTATTTCAGTTGTTACGTGAATCATATTAAAATTAATATTTAGATTCTATTTATTACAATGAAAATGTTAATTCTACATAATTCTTTTTGTTTACACTATTTTTAACAATAGTCGCCATGATTGATGCTAAAATAATCTCCATGGAACCATGGGGTAACGCTAACAGCTGGAAAATTAAAAACTGCCGTAAAAGACTGCAAAAGCAAATTGTAATTTATTTGTATTGGGAATCTAAGTTATAATTTTAAAAAATCTTTGTAGTTGTAATATTGTATTTTATTAAAATTTATCAATTCAGCCTTCTCAACTGTTTTTGGGTGAATAAGGTGTAGTCATTTTTTACCTTTGGCGCATGAACCTTAAAAGCCTGTTAAATGATGCTTTTAAGGCTTTGTTTTTGCATTAAATATGAATGCTGCAGCTTAGAAATAATAATAAAAGACGTGTTGGGTCTTATATTCTTGAAATTATCCGTATGTTAATTTTGCATCTCTTGAAAAGTAATAGTCAAGAGTTTTTTTAGTTCGTTTACTTGAAGTCAGGTCAACAATGCAGACACCAATTTCTTTACAGAATTGGTTTCAGTGGTGAAATTGCCCGTCGGGTCTACCGGGAAAAATCCCAATGGTACTTAGAAAAATCTAGCCCCCCCCCCTCCAGAAAAAATCTCGTCCCTTTAGGAACGTCAATTCTGTAAGTCATTTTCAAGTTTTGATTTTTTTTTTTACTACTCCCACGTACTATGGTGTAAAACTCAGGCTTTGATGGAGAAAAAAAAAGCATAATGAAATGCGTCGGGCCTCTTGGACATAGCCAGTCCACCCCTGATTAGTTTTCTAAAACTATTGTATGTACGCTAATTAGTCTAACACGTCGTTGAAATGTGCAACTCATGATTGCTTAGCCCTTGGTTAAATTTTGTGAGCCATCCTCTTAAATAAATGACAGTACGAAATTTAAGTAGATTTTAATCGCTTAATCTATAGTTAATCTTTACCCCCCCCCTCCCCAACCCCTTCGGCATCCAAACACATTGTTTTAATGGTTTTTTTTTTTTTTTTTTTTTTTTTTTTTTTTTTTTTTTTGATGAATACAAATTGATGCCAGAGGGTGGGTAACATTTGCTAAATTCTGAAAGATGGCTGTGAAGTTAAATTACAAATGATACATCATTTAGTAAACTTACTGTTTTCATTAATTTTATTTTTATATGGGAAGGTTGGGGGTCGGGTGGTAAAGTGGCCGACTGCTGACTATACTACACCCTTCATATGTCGAGCACACTGAGAAAAGGTGATCTCAACTTTACCTGCCCCATCGACCGTCATGTTCAAGAGGGTACTTAATTTTTACTTTTTCCTTGTGAAGATAGGCCAACACTATATATAGTTTAACTCAAAATTAAATCTCCATTCGTTTTTAAAAATATATTTTCAACCTTTTTTAATTTTGAATATATATATATATATATATATATATATATATATATATATATATATATATATATATATATATATATATATAACCCCTTTCTCTGTGATATCACTAGTATCTATCTGATTCGCAAAACTTTTTTTTTAAATGCCAACGGTATATTTTTTGCATTAAATTAATTAATTAAAAGCAGGATCCCAAAAAATGGGTTTAGTGAGTAGAAAGAAAAAATAAGGAAAGAATAATTAAATAAAACTAAATTCAACACTTTTTTTATCGTTTATGTTCGATTGCTGAGACTCCCAAGTTAAAATTTTAAAAATCCCATTTTTAATTTATTTGCCCTCGTTTACAGGATGGTAATATAGGTAGAAAAAAGTTATTAAAAACATTTTAGCGAGTTGATTCGAATTGAATTATTTACCCACCACCTCATCAGACCCTTCTCACTGTTGAAATGTTTTCTCGCGACCTTCGAGAAATAATAAAAATATTTTTAAATACAATGAAATAATAATTTTGTGAATATATGTTAAAATGTATGGAAATTCTGAAATTAGAAATAAAAATAATCAGTAATATATATTGACAAAATAACGGTATCAACAATAATTTGTTCGGGTTGTCGCACATGGCTAACTTCCTGTCAATGTCAGTCATATTATAAAGTATATTATATTACACAGTTAAAATAGGCAAACAGCCTGAAAGAAAACCAAAGTTCAATAAATACTCATACTTTTCGCTAATACTTGATATCCCATATTGTCATCTCAGTGATACAACCATTAATGCCATCAGCGGTAAGAAAAAAAAACCATTTTAGTGTAAAATAGTTTAGTTGAAAGAACATTTTAAAATATTACGACGACACCGGTTTCATTTTGAAAATTTTGTTCACGAACTTCAACACTCAACACTCATTATTGGCAATATAATTGTGCTACGTTTAAAAATAGTAGGCCTGGATCTAGATCTATATCATCAGTCACTGTTAGATCTATTAGTTGGGGCTTGAATTTTAGAATCTACTCTAGCCTAGTCCTAGATCCAGATTCTAAATCTAGATTCTAGAGTAGAATCTAGATTCTAGATCTAGAATCTAGATCTACATCAAAATTCAAAGTAGCTGGCATCAAGTGACCAAACTCATTACCACTACCTACAGTACACCCCTTTTCTTAGAAAATGTCTAGAGGGGGTGTGGGGAAATTGCGAGACGCGAAATGGCGAGGCGGGAAAATGCGAGAAGCGCGAGAAAACGGTCGGTCACGTGACTTTTTTGTCTCGCATTTTACCACAACCCGATACTTACGCTGGGTGGTGATGAAATGCGAAGATTTCTGCGAAAAATTTGCGCACCCGATCTTTAGTGGTATTTGGTCCAGACTTCAAAGACGTTTCTTTACATTGTTAAAACTTCCGATTTTTCCGTCGCTAGACATACTGATGATTTGTCAACTCCCCCCCCCCCCCCATCTTTTGTGACGACTTAGAATACCACCTTGTTCGAAACCGACGGAAATACCGCCGACGATAGATCAACTTCTGTCTTTTGTGTGGAACGCCGAGGCCGCCTGATTTACCGTCTTTGAAGATCGCCGTGCCCGGATCCGCTGCCGCCGCAAACATATTTTCTATTGTTGCATAGACATTTTGTATTATAGCCGCCGCCTACGATTTTTTTCTAGCTTTTTTACCATATAAATCTAAGCACAAGGAAATGCCTACATCATTTGGATTCAACTATTCTGGAGGTAAGAACTACTTCCTGTGTGTTTTCTCTTCCAATGTTCCTTTACACTGATTTAGATAATCTAGATAAAAAATAACAACATACAACACTCGTGTTAAAGGGTATGGCTAAATGCTTGTTTATTTTAAAACAAAACAAAAAATAATTTAAATACAGATAATAATAAAATCTAGATAAAAAATAACAACATACAACACTCGTGTTAAAGGGTATGGCTAAATGCTTGTTTATTTTAAAACAAAACAAAAAATAATTTAAATAAATAAAGATGAAAAAAGCATGAACATTTTTTTTCGCAAAATGTCTCGCTATTTACCCTTAATTCCGCAGGTATGTCTCGCATTATGTTCTCGCATTTTCCCACCTCGCCATTTCGCTTTTCGCGTCTCGCAATTTCCCCACACCCGTCTAGAGGGGTAATCCATAAATGATGTCACACTCGTAGGGGGGAGGGGGGGGTCCGTAATTTTGTGACGATGTGTGATGAGGGGGAGGGGGGGGTTCAGATGTTGCGACGTCACATTTTTGCATTATTAAAAAGCAATGTTAGAAAACGAATTTTAGACGTTATTTCGCGTTTTAGATAACTGTTTTAATAAATTGTAATAGTTTAGTTTTAGACAAGATTTTGGAAAAATATCGATGTTTTAAAAAAATTCAACTGCAATTTTGAGGGGGGTTGTAGGCTGAGGTGTGACGTCATTTTAGGGGGGGGGGGGGTCTGACTTTTTGTGATGACGTGTGACGGAGGGGAGGGGGGGGGGAGGTAAAAATCGTCAAAAAAAGCGTGATGTCATTTATGGATGACCCCAGAGTAAAGTTCCACAGCCGATCACACATAGCGGAAAATTCCAGATTTTCATCGGGCGCTATTTTGTAACCGTTTAACACTGAAACAAACCGAAAGTACTAGATCTAGATCTACCTAAACTTAGAAAATTTAAAAACTTGTCTTCCAGATGGAGAAATAAAAAAAAAATTGACATGGATTTATTTAGAAATGGACATGTGTACAGCAGTCGCAGATATCGGTAGTTTCATTATAAAGCATCCAAACAATTATTATACGAAGCTATAAACAGGCGATGGCCGCTCCGTGGTTTTAACCGCGTGCTGGAACTTTACTCTAGATCTTCAAGATCTAGTGTCTATAACTATTCCTTATTGACTTGGCCAATAGACCATATAAATATGCCTATTCCAACAATCTGAACTGACATAGCACAGTAAGCTCTGCATAGTGTGATAAATCTGCTGATTTTGGTAGGCCCTACTATTTTATATTAGAAAATCAGCTCAGTAGTGGTAACATGTAGGTAGAGTAAGACTTAGAATCCAATGAATTTCAGGATTTAAAAAAAAAATTTGCAGTTAGGCCTAACTTTTATGAAAGGGTGACTTTTTTTATAATGTAAGTGACTATTTGGATCCTGGTCCTAATAGCCCCGACTGCCATTCAGACCAGGTTTCGTCTTTAGTTACACATTCACGTCACCTGTATTAAATTTATACCTTTTGTGTTATTTGATTTTTTATGTGGACATGCTAGTATTTTGTTTATGTTTTGTATCTGTGAAATATAGTTCTGTGGATGTGCTAGTATTAGGAACAACGCTTTCTTAAAGCCATTTATTTAGCCATATCTACAAAACCATCAAATATTGACTATACAACCAAAGATATCATTGCTGAGTGGATAATGTCATGCCTCCTAAATCTCGGACTGTACTGGTTTGGCACCTTCCCCTTCGCTTATTCCTGAAAAAGTATAAGTCTGTATAGTGCAAGAAGAAAAGTTTAGCTACTGATCTATCACAAATTGTTGCATGCTTGTTTTTTTTTAAATTGTTTTTATAGATAAAAAATCTCTTCTAGATTTAGATTATTAAATATGCCAATTCTAAACATCATTGTTCCTATCATTGCCCGTTTTCTTGTCAGCAGGAGAAATATACTCACATGGTCTAGGGTGACTGTGAGTTCACTTTGGTTTAGATATCGGTAGTGAAGGCGTATGGTGTATTCATAGCAAGAACTTTGCTATCTAAGATTGTCGATGTCACTTATATATCACCCCCCCCCCCCCATCCAAGCAAATGAAAAAACGTATTTGGAGTCATTGTGGGTTCATATAATACATAAGCTTGATTAAAGCATACTACAACGATGTGAGATATTAGTGTTCAAGAAACCAGGCCTGTGAGCTTTAGTCTACATTCAGCTATTTTTATACAACTAACATTTTAAAAAAAATTGCACTGATAGGCCAAAATATTAAATTATGTTTAAATAAGAAGAGAAAAACAAAGTACATTTTTCTTGCGCTCTCAACATTAGTTTGGTCAGAGAAACTTATACCATAGGCCATTTATAATAGACCTAAGGACTTCCGTTTGCCATGACATTTGTCAGATATGTACTTAATATTATTAAAGCAAGATCGCTATAGATATTGAATTACTAGAAAAAAATCACACCAACAGAAAAAAAAAATCTTAAAAGTATTATAATTTAATGCCTGGTCCAACTGTTAAGACCCGGGTCTGAATAGATGCAGTCTTTTATAAATAGTGTTGTTTTTTTTTTTGTCATTTCTTATGAGATTTGATTCATGGAGAAAATATGAATTTTTTAAGAGGTTAAAAGAGGTTAAATTTTATTTAGTTTAAGTTTTTTTAATTGTTCCAACATGCCAAAGTTTCACTAAACATTTAATTTAAACTTTAAACAGATGTCTGACGCACCAGGCCCAGCCAATCACAGACTAAAATCTTACAAAAACAAAGCATTAGATTCTCAAGAACTCAGGAGGCGGCGTGAGGAAGAAGGAATTCAGCTTAGAAAGCAAAAGCGAGAAGAGCAGGTAAAGTCATGCAATTCAACAGTTTTAAACTCTTTTATTCTTGGCATCAGGACAGCCTTTTAAAATATCATTTTGTTTCTAGATTTTTAAAAGAAGAAATGTTGCAGTACCTGCTGGAGATGAAATTGGGCCTGGGGCGGATTTACAAGATTCTATGGTTTCCTCTACTGTAAGTTATTAAGCTATTAGTTAGGCATGGAATTTTTATTTTTTTAAGTGTACATAAAGGTGAAAAAATCAAATATGTTAAAAGAATGTTAACAGTTTAATTACAAAAGGACGAATTGTCCATGATTAACTATATTCCCTTTAAAAAAAAATATTTTAATTGTTTACAGGGAGGAATTAGCCCAGAGATGGTACAAGCACTCTACAGTGAAGAGTTAGAAGAACAAGAGTTGGCTACACAAAAGTTTCGTAAACTCTTATCTCGAGGTGAGTGAATATTTTAAGGTTATTACTGGTAAATTGAGCATGTGTGCTTTATTTCATTGTTTAAAATTTGTGACTCTTGAAACATTGCCTTTATTTTTCCAGAGCCTAATCCACCAATAGATGAAGTCATACAGACAGGCATCATCCCCAGATTTGTTGAATTTTTACAGCGTGACAACAGCTGGTCGTTACAGGTGCAGTTGCCCTTTGACTGGAAATTACCCTTTTTATAATGGATTTTCTAGCTACTTGTAAAGATTGGATCGATATGTATAAATTCTATTTTATAGTTTGAAGCTGCATGGGCCCTAACAAACATCGCATCAGGAACATCACTTCAAACACGGATGGTTATTAGTGCAGGAGCTGTTCCTATTTTTATTCGACTTCTCAATTCAGACATTGAGGATGTTCAAGAACAGGTACTACTATTTGTTAAAATATTTTTTTAGGTATTTAAATTTTCAGTATTTAAATTGAATTGAAAAAAATCTTATGTTTTCACTTTTTATACAGGCTGTTTGGGCATTGGGTAACATAGCTGGAGATAGTCCTGAATGCAGAGATTATGTATTAAATGAGGGAATCCTTGTTCCTCTGTTACAGTAAGTATTGAGTTTAAATCTTGTTGCATATAGTTCCAAATTCTCCTTTATTATTTACCCTAAACTGCTTCTCTAGGTTATTGTGGGATTCTGGATTTGTGAAGAATTTGAATATTTATTTTTAAATTCTAGAAAAGCATTTTATTAGGACTAGTGAGTCTTTTTATCGCCTACATGGCTATCCCAGTTTCACAAATGTATAGATGGTACAATATATCTATCGTTCGTGTTTCTGTCTATAAACTGCTAGCCTAGTTTTGTTTAACATTCAACAGATTTCATTTGTTTCAGAAGTTTCAATAAATGACAAGTTTAATTAACATTAAATTAATCTATTAATCTATCATTTTTGAAAATCAGAATAGGACTGGTTTTATATATTATTATATATGTAAATATTTAACCCAAATCTGGCCGAGTGGTTACACAGTACTCTTGTCCTAAATATCTGACTTCAACTTTAGGCACAGACCACAAAATAAAATTATTTGTGGTATATTAATGCCATTAATTTAATTCATTTCATACATCTTACTTAGATTTGTTCAAATAATTACCTATATTTTATTATCAGTTCTAAACATACTTTTTGTGAACCTTATGAGATTTGTGTAGAGATTTTTAAAAAAATCTCTAACTGATCATAAAATAATAAGCAAGAAGTGGCACATGTTCGTAAGGGTTAAATATTACAGATACATTTTATCATCCACCATAATGCCAACATTTTGGAAATGGTATAAAAATTGCAATATTTTAGCTATGACTGATTGTTTATTAATAATGTATTCAGTTTGCTGAGCAAATGTGCAAGCTTATCCATGACAAGAAATGCAGTGTGGTGTCTCTCAAACTTGTGCAGGGGGAAGAACCCTCCACCTGATTTCAATAAGGTACAGTTAATGTTAAGTCTACCCTGGCTATTAGCTTTAACACCTGTATTTTGTTACATTTTAATGATTGACCCTCTCCACCTGATTGTAATTTTACATAATAATGTTAGATTTTATAGTTCGTCTGGCATACGTTTGTACAGCTGTAGCATTGAAATGTTCCAACTCCTTTCCTAGGTTTGTCCTGCACTGCCTGTTCTTGCCAGACTACTTTACCATACTGATAAAGATGTTTTGGCAGATGCCTGCTGGGCTCTGTCCTATTTATCTGATGGTCCTAATGAGAAAATACAGTCAGTTATAGATTCTGGAGTCTGTAGGAGGCTTGTTGAACTCTTGATGTAAGAACTGGATTCTTTTTTTTTTGTAAATTTTTTTTTTACTAGAAATGATGAAGTCTGTTTAAGAAGAGTATTAATGGTTGTTTTATTCTAATGTAGGCACAATCACCAAAGTGTTGTGGCTGCTGCCCTCAGGGTAGTGGGTAACATAGTGACAGGTGATGATTGTCAAACACAGGTGAGTGGACTGAGGATGTTTTTTCAAGTAATATTGTGACTGTCCTTGCACTAGCTAACATTTTGTTTTAAAACTAATTTTCTCTATTTCTAGACAATTTTATGTTGACTTTTTAAATTAAACAAAGCTATTTCTCTGCCATTGGCTGTTAAGTATGTTTTTACACTAATAGTCAGATTATAATGGACCTCCGGTGAGCCCATGTTTTCAGCCTTGGTCAAGAATATCTAAGATTTTCTTTCAGCAGGGCAACTGTGGGGATCTAGATGCCAGAGTTACTCTAGTTATCTTTTATATGAGTGCACCCCAGGCCTAGGTTTGTTATCTTTCCTGAAGTATTCTTTTACAACGTTGTGTTATCAAGTTGCTGGAGAAAAGTGTGGCACATTTTGTTCTCACATTATTATTTTGACTTGAAGATTCGGGAATCCTTTTAAGGCCTGATTTAAGCAGTTGGTTCAAATGTATTGTGTTAGCAGGTGTAGTTTATTGTTCTCTTTGTATTACATTTTGTTTGAGGCTTACACATCTGACAACTCCATTCTTTAAGTCTGCATTATTTCTTGTGGTTTCTTATGTAATTTGTTTTTGAGATTGTTTGTAGAAATCTGCATATTTTGTTTCTTCATTCAAGAATTGGCTCTATTGCATTCAAAGAAATGATCTTGACTGACCTTGTGTTTTCATTTAGTCAAGTCTTTTGTGTTTATTTGATGTGATTTGACTATCAAATTGTTTTTGTGTTTGTTTTATTTTTAAAAAATAACAGTTCAGTTAACATAGTTTGTCCAGTCGATCACTTGTCTTAAATTTATTTTTGCTGTTCCCTATGCAGGTGATCATTAATTGCTCCTCTTTACCGTGTTTGTTGCATTTACTGGGCAGTTCTAAAGAATCTATACGTAAAGAAGCCTGCTGGACTATCTCAAACATTACTGCTGGTAACCGGCAACAGATTCAGGTAGTGCTCCTTAGTCTAATTAGTTTGATTTAGTGGAAGATGATCCTTTTGTTGTTTATGGCAGAGACTAGATGTGATTGTTAATCAACACCATTTCTTCAATTCCAGAATGTTATAGACTGTAATATATTCCCTGTTTTAATTGATATACTGGGTAAGGCTGAATTTAAAACAAGAAAGGAAGCTGCTTGGGCTATAGCTAATGCCACATCTGGAGGCTCCCCAGAACAAATCAGGTATCTATTGGATTTACAAAAATAAAATATTCAAGGGTTTACTATTTGATTTTAATCATTGTCTTTGATAAACATTTTTTTTTTTCAGATTTTTAGTAGATCAGAACTGTATCCCACCTCTGTGTGACTTGCTAACTGTAATGGACAGTAAGATTGTGCAAGTGGCGCTAAATGGTCTGGAAAACATCCTTAGACTGGGTGAAGCAGATGCTAAACAGGGAAATGGAATAAATCCTTTTGCAGTTCTTATTGAGGAATGCTATGGTATGCTGCTTTTAAATAAATCAATTCCATCATGTTCTTTAACACTTCTGTATATTGTTTGATTTTTAAAAATACAGTACCGAACCGAAATTTGATTTTTCAGTTTTAATTATTTTTTTTTTGGTTTTTCTTTAGGTCTCGATAAAATTGAGTTTCTCCAAAGCCACGAGAATCGTGAAATTTATCAGAAAGCTTTTGATATCATTGAGCGCTACTTTGGCACAGAAGAAGAAGACAAAGCATTGGCCCCACAAATGGACCAGGCCTCTCAGCAGTATCAGTTTTCTGGAGACACAAGTACCCCCATGGGTGGCTTTCAGTTTTGATATGCAGCTAAACATAGTCACTATATCTTTTGGTTTTACTATATGTAAGTTTAATAGTCTAAAATAGTTTGTACAAAGCCTTAAAAGTAGCTCTGTGTTCTCTCAGTGCGTGTTTATTAAAACAATATTTTTTTTTTTTAAAGTATCTCAGTACAGTTTCTTATTATTGTTCTCGTTGGTGTTAGCTAGTTCAGTTAAAAAATGTTTCATATTCTTAATTTTATAATTATTAAATATATAAATCTATATTCTAAAACTGATAAATGTGTGAACATAGTGATTTGCCAACACTGATATGTAGCTGTGCTCAAGAGACTGGAATGCTTCAGTGTCCATTAACTAGAGCTGTCAACTAACATTGTTCTCTTACTAGAGAGTTGTTTTTGCATGCTAATTTGACTGGTTAGTTTGTAAAGTTAGCATTTTCAAACTTTTTAAACAGCTCAGCATGAACATAAAAATTCACCACCATTAGATTTAATCCTGACTAGCCAGCTACAAAAAGGACTGATTTTTCTCGGGCAAAGCTACAAGTTCTAAAAAAAAATTCAAGTCAATTTACAAAGTCAACGTTCAAAATTTTTCATTTTTTGAATCAATAGTTAAAATTTTGATTGGTTTTCTTTAAAGTTTTTTTTAACTTATTGGTCAAGCATCATTTGTTGACTTTGCAAAATTAACATTGCAAATAAAAAACACTATATTCACAACTTATGTACAGAGCTTAGGTACAATGTGCAGATATGCAGACAAGTTGACTTTTTATAGTAACGCTATCAGTATTTAACGGATGTAAATCAACTCCTTGTATCTGCAGACTTGATGTATGCATATTTTCTCATTGTACCAAAGATCAATATGAACCCCCATGTTCAAAGAATCTTCAAGCTACTCACAGTTCTAGGGGAAAAAATATTTTTCAAATCCTCAAATGCCAAAATTTTCCACACTGACTTTCTAAATTTGTTTTCTTAAAGAACCATTCGTCAGAGTTTTAACTTGTAATTTTAATCTATGCCAATAGCTTTTATATTCATTTTTTTCACCTAGAACTGTGGAAGCACTAAAGAAACCATATGGTTTCTTCTTGCAACATACGCCCTGCCATACTGTGAGGAAAACTGAAGTGCACTTAATATCATTCATTTTATTTGGTAATACGTGCATCTGCAACTTTTTGAATCAATTTTGAGCAACCAAAATTTCTTTTGTTGAAAAGTTAAGCAATTCAAATTGTGTTGGCAAGTTCCAGTTAGAAGTTGAGGACTAGTAAAAAGATGTTTTTCTTTTTTTTTTTTTTACTGTTGCCATGAGTCAGATGCGTACCTGTTTAGTAATAAAGATCTGAATGATGTTGATGTAAATCAATCCTAAAGACTGCTTTAGAGTTGTGAGGCTACCAAAGGATGCATGACTAATTACCACATTTTCTACTCAGTGAAACCAAATACCAAGCTGTGATGATTTATGTTCAATTCTAGAATAGCAAGTTTACCCAATGCTTGATTCATGCCTTAGATACCTTTGATCATAGTATGGCAGGACAGCACTTTCTTCACCCAAACAAAGTCTTTCATTCACACGCCCAAGTACTTCCAGGGACATGCCATTTGCAAGACAAGCTACAATATTTTAGCATTATTTTTTACATGCATTCAATACTATGTCCAACCATGCCATAACAATCATGTCAATTGTCCTGTTATTTATTTATTTTTCCACAATTTCTATAAATAGTTTGTGAAGAGTGATTGGGTGTGCATGTCTAATTTGACCTGTCTGTGCACTTTAGACTGCAGCATGCATCATGCTTGTTCCACATCAGGTGATGGGTTACAGGGGAGTCAAATTTCAGTTTTTTGTCTTTTAAAAACTCATGATAGTCCCAAACACCATTTTTCTTTCGGACTCTGTCCATTAGTGAATTGTACAGTATGTAAGTGTTTGAATGCATTTATTTTAATTTAGTTAGTAATCTGGCTGCACATGTTAAAATTGTTTCATTCTTGTAAAGTAAATTTCTATGTGATGTGAACAGATTTTGCTCCTGGAAGGTGATTTATTCAAATGTATACGCTGTAAAATGTAAATGCATGTGTATCTACATCTGAAAAGATAATATTAATTAAATATTGTATTTTATCTTTTGCTTTCACCTTTATGCTTTTAGCATGTCTCCTCTGAAGCAAATTTTGATAAGCTTTTGGCTCAGGTTTTTGGATTTGCAGTGTCGTGTAGCTCTTTTTCTGCAGTAAATACCCCATAGTAGTTTTTGTGTGCAAGACAGAATAGATTCACCACTGAAATTTTAAAAAATAAGCGATTAAATAAAAGTTCTAATAGATCATTTAAATTAATCATTGCTTTTTGAATTTTCAACATTTGCCGGTATTTATAACTTTATTTCCAGTATCTGATATATTTATTTTGAAGTTGTACATTTTTGCTTCTTTCTGAGCAGCCACTATTCTTGGTGTCATGTTATGGAAAGTATTGTGTTCAGTCTTTTAACTCCAATTTTCTTGTACTCTGTGTTTGACATTCTAAACAACCACACCAACCATTTCAACAGAAGTAAGCATTGGTCATTCATCTACAGCCTAGTTTAAACACTTCAATGCAAATCATTGTGACAACTTTTTTCATGCTTTTTTTTTTTTTCTTCAGTATTTTACTTTGTGAAAAAAAAAACATACTGGTGTGAATGAATAATCTTGTAAAGTAATTCAATTAACAGTTTTTCATAATTGATAATTTAGAGAAAAATTACATGTGTTCATTATTAGTTTTAAGTGTGGGCAGTTGTGTTTCTTGGTAAATTTTGTCTGATTTTGGTATTTCTCTCATCATAAATGTTTATACCATAATAGAAAGTATCTATTTTGAGTCCAATTAGTTTTATTTCCTCTTTAGTTTGATAAGCAACTCAAAAATCTGAGAAAGGGATTATCTTGATTTATATCACTGCTTGCAGACAGTACATGTTAGCTACTGATACTTATAGCACATCCTATTTAAGTTTTTTAATAGAATATTTAATCCCAGCTGAAATAGTTGATGCATGTCTAGAATTTTAAAAATTTTGACACTCTTCCCTTAGCTTGTCAAACAGTGACTTAACTAATCTGTCCTTTTAATGTTAGAACTCATCAATTCTTAATCCCTGAGTATCCTTTCAACATGCACACATATGATTAAATAAATATACTTTCATTTCCTCAGGGATAATCTTTTTAACTGTCAAATATGCATAGGGCTATCTGCATTTTATTCCTATAGTCAATGATTTTTCAGTGTTTACCTTTTTTTCACTCAGTATGCTGTCTGACATTTTATAATTCATTTTTGTATGTAGTACTGATAATTCTTTTAACCGCTTTGTCTGTTATGTAAATAAGATGTGAGTTTGTCTGACTTTAAGGTTAAAATACCTAGACACCGTATAGTTTTATATTGGCCAAAATTTTAAAACCTATTTCTGCTTTTGTCATTAGCTGTTAAAATTTTTACCAACCAAAAGAAAGTTTTAACCTGTATCAGACAATGTACATTTGCCTCCAATATTTCTTGCTCATTTCTGTACATACTTTTTGTCTTGTGTCCAAGTGTTGCCTAGTTCATCACAGCTATTTGTATTGCAAACTATTTATTGAGCTTTGTAACTATGGGAGATTACATTGTACCTTGTGTCTATTAGAAATTTAAATATTCTGTATGAAAGAAACTAGACAACTCTGCTAAAATGTATGTCTGTTAACGGGTGTTGACATACAAATCTTTGACGATTTATCTTCAGTTAGTGTTTGTTTAAGGAGTATTATGTTGTCTCTTGTGATAAAATATTGCCCAAACTTTTAAGACTGTAAATGGCAGGCTAAAAGTTAGCCATATAATATGCTAAGTTGGGCTCATTTTGTTAAACTACCCAGTGGTTTACTAGATCACTGGCCACTCTGAAGCTTTGTAGTGTCAGTGAGATTAAGCCTGTAAACACCTGATGAGCTATATAGTCTGTTTTAGGTCTCTCTGTTTTAGTAATGTTTTGTTGTGTACATTTAAATTTTGTTGTAGGTTTCTTGTTTTAGTAGTGTTTTGTAGTATATGTCCTTTGGTGAATTGTGCATTTTTGTTTTTAAAACTTGGCTATGTTTTTTTTTGTTGCATTTTTAATGAAATAAATTGTTTTAACCCATCTCATGGACATACACTATACACAAGCCAAATAAAACTAAACAGTCATATACAACTTGTTCCGTTGTTCTTTTCCTCCAGCCATACTGGGTTTCTCCAAGCTAAGACCTGACACTGTAGGAATAGATGCTTTTTTACAAATAGTTAAAATATTTTGATACTATTACATTGTTAGTAGTGTTATTAAGTTTGTCAATCTGGTGGTTTTTTTTAAAATGGCAGATAATGTAGTTTGTTTCTTTGATGGCAAATACTGTCAGCACTATTCCAGCTGACACGAGACACACCTGTCAAAGCTAGTTGGCCTTTTGATATACTGCTGATTCAATCTCAAGACCTTAGTTAACTACTGTGTGTAGTAGGTTGGGCAATCATTGAATTTGTTCTTACCAATTCTACATGTGAACATTCACATCTAAATATGTGTACAATGTTGACAGATCCATACTGAGTTATATAAAAAAATATATTAAGCAAAGCTCAAGATATTCAAATACCGGTAGTTTATTTACAAGTTTCTTGACAAGGACACAAGGATTTGAAAATGTTTAAAAATCAGCTTTTTCCTAAGAGAGCTAACACTGCTGCTTCATCTTGTTCTAAGCCATCTAAACCACTTTCATTGTCTTCCTCATCACTTGAACCATCATCTTTTGTACTGGAAACATCACTCTCTTCATCTGTACCATCATCTTCTGCTTTGCCTCCTATATTTAACCTGCGCTTCTTTGGTTTAGGTCTACACAAAACAAAGTGAATAAATTATTATATTTTTATATAAGCTATGAAGCTAATGCTTTCTTTAACTAATTGTTGATATCATCAAAAAATGTGTTCATTATCAATTTTTTAATAAATAGTTTTAGGAATTAATGATCAGATACAAATGAGAATAATTACAATAAACCAACTGAAGTTTGTTGATTTTATTAATTAATGGAATTAGGATTGAATAAGAACTACTATAAATATATAGAGGTAAACTTGTTCTTCCAACAAGAGATTGAGCAATACAACCAGAAACTTAAAAACCATCTCAAACCCTCATAATATGGCATACCACCATTAAAGATTTCTAGGAACCTTACCTACACATAAACCACATCACAATGTGGTACTAAAAAAACTGGCTTTTAAAATAAAGTATGGGAATCACAGAAAGAAAGTACTAGTTTTCAACCACTCAAAATAGCAAAAATCTAGTAAAATAAAAACAAATCTAAGGCAGCATAATACCATCCCTCTGCAACCACCCCCTGAATGCCAACCTGAGTCCTCTGGTTATGCTGGAAACTCAACCACATGTCCCAGTTTATTTTCATGACAAAATATTCATTACAAAAAAAAAACCCAGAACTTACTCATCTGATTCAGAATTATTGTCACTTTCATCATCTTCTTCACCGGTTTCATCGTCACCAGATTCATCACCATCTGTTTCATCATTCTCTGATTTGTCTCCCTCGTTTATCTGACTATCATCTTGCTCCTCCTCCATTGCATCATTGTCCTCTGGATCTCCTAGCACCACTTGCGGCTCTTGAGCCTAAAAAATTAATTCAGTATCTGATGGGTTTTGTCTAAGTCGTTATGTCACAAACTTGTTTAGAATTAAGTGAAAAAACATGCAACAAAGTAAACACTTGATACAACTCAAAACCAACCCAGCTTTTATACATAAACTTGAATTGGTGCATGTAGCAGTTGGGGTTATTAGAACTCTGTTTATATTAATGGTACCTGGGCAGAATGGTGTGCATCATGTCATGAATAAACAGACCCAAGCAGGATAATGCAATGCCTCATGTTGCAAAAAGTGCTGAGTAACACCTTCCCCCTCCCCTCCCCCCTTCTTGTTCGGCTGAGGACTTGTACTTGAAGCAAGACCTTCCAGCCAAAACTTTTTAGCTTCAACTTTGGTCTGTGATATATCAATGTCACAATACTCATTCTGACCGGCTTAACAGTATATACCTCAGTCTGTATAGGGCAGAATTTTGGATGTAGTTGGTCATTAAACTCGGCACACAATCTTTTCTTAGACTCAATCATGAAAACATAATTGAATCTGGTCTGCTTGACTGTCCAGAAAAAAAGTACTTAACTTATATTTCAACTTTTTCAAAATGAGAACCAAAATATGTCCTGATTCCAAATTAAGCTTTATGGAGACTAGTATGGAACCTTATGCTCAATAGCTGCTCTTGAACAATGCCAATCTACTTGACAATCTGGTCCACCAAAGCTGCTACTATGTGCTGTAAAAGTAAAGTTCCCTTTTCAAACCTTATGGTCTATAGGGCAAGTGAAGGAGAGTTCACTTGTTTTGTGTGACCTCGGCATATGAAGAGATAGTGTGGTCAGAACTATGTCCAGCCGCCTTTACTTTCCCTAACATCAGAGTTGGGTGGACTCAGGGTTGGTTTACTGACTTGAACCCAGATTTGAACTTGAGACTTACGGGTTAGCAGTCCAGCTCTCTACCGCTAGACAACTCCGTACCCCTACTGTGCTGAGGTAAATACAATATTAGTGCTAGGGGAAAGAATCCAGTCAAAAATGTTTTACTTACAGGCTCGCCCCTCTTTTCAAGCTCAGCCAGACGTCTTTTCTCTTTCAATTTCAAACGCTTTTCCTGTAAATAACAAATAGTTGAAAAATTTATCCATGAGACCTGTTACAAAATATTTTGCCTAATTAGATAATTAAGGGTCAACCATTTATGACCTCTAAGAACATTGAACTTTAGACCACCCTTTGTCCCTGCCTACTTTGGAGGACTCCTGTTGTTTACAAAAGTGAAATGATTTTTTCTCTCAAAATGTACTTAAAATATGTTACGTCTTGTGTATGTGTACCTTGGAATTCATGTGTGATTTTTTTCTAGGTATTTTGTCTAATATTTAATGTCTGATCTTTGATAAACAATTTTTTTATTTCAATAATTTTTTTACTTCGAAATCAACACAAAAATTAATGCAGACCACTACTAATGTATGTTGTATGGAAAAAAAGTTTTAAAAGTACTACTTTCTACAGATATATATAACATTATAGTTAACTCTAAGTAAACATTGGGTTCATAACATTTATTTCCACAGATACCAACTTTATAAACATTTTTTATGCCGATTAATTTAACTATTGAACTAATTATAGAATCTAGATCTTTTAAACTTTGAACAATAGTTCAGAATCACACCATACAACTAATACCAATTATTTAACTGAAGTGATTTTAAAAAAGAAGTTATGTTACCCTGTGCTGTTCTTTGATGCGTTGTCTCTGCAGTTCCTTATCAACTTTATCCCTCTCTTTCATCCTCTGTTTGGCTTGCTCTATGTTTAATCCGCCAACATCTTCATCTTCACTTTCCTTCCCTTCAGGCTAGTCAACAATAAACATCAAATGACAAAAATGTTTAGAGCAGGTTTTTGGTTATGATTTTTTATTAAGAAAACAATAAAACTTACATTTCCTTCTTCGTCAAACATAATCCTGGTTGTGTATTTGAGAAGTTTTAATTTCTCCTTGGCCTTCGACTTCTTTTTACCAGATTTTACCTCTTGAATTCCATTCACCTGAACAAAAATTTGATGAAATTTAATCAACAGAAAAATTTGTTTTCATAACAATTTTTGAGTTAATTCTTTTGGTGTACAACATTATAAAATAAATTTTAAATGTAATCACAAGGCATTCAATCTTAAAATAAAGCAGATATGTGCCTAAATAAATAGCTAAGAAATCAGTGCATTGAATAAATAACTTTTAATTAGAAAAGGGAAGCAATAATAAGGGAAGCAACTAATAAAAGGGAAACAATTAAAAGCGTCCATCTCTTACCTGAGTTTGATCCTCCTCACCCTCAGGTTGCACATCTTTAACAACTTTGTAAATATTATCTTCCTCTTCACTGTCACTAGCTAGACCAAAACTGTAAACAAAAAATTCTACAGCATTACATGTACAATATACAGATTTTAAGTAAAATTTTTCCAAAAAAAAAATAATCGTTTCCACACACTACACCCCTGCTCTTTAACTAAACCTTTAGATCCACCACTTGCCACAACTTACTCTAAAGTTTTTTTCTGCTGTAGCATTGCTTTCTTCTCCTCCTCATCTTCACTCCTCTCTTCACTTCCTTCCTCATCCTCACTATCATCTTCACTACTTTCATCATCCTCATCTTCACTGTCACTTTCCTCACTCTCTTTCTGGACATCTTTTGTGGGTGCTTGAGATTTTTTTATGGCTTTCTCTAGGAATGGGAGTTTTGGACTCTGGACAAGGCCAAGTGAACTGAAAAAATACAACGAGAATTTAAAACAGATTTAATAAGAATATGGTTCTACATAACATCTTTTTTGGCAAAAGGAATGTTCTGGAAAATGTTTGCAGCCTGAATGTCCCTGATATGCACTCAAGTTAAAGCAGACAATATTGGCATCAATGCACATATAATATAATGTAAAACAAAGAGAAGCAGGATATAGATTTTTAAAATTAATTGACTTACGCAGCAAAAGCGTCCCGATCAACACTTGAAAAACATGGTTTATCCAACACATACAGCGTTTTCATCACAGAAATAAATGCCTGGGAAAGAAATATTTGAGATGATACAGCGGATAAGATAGGGTGATGGCTTGCAACAGCATTAAAGAAAAGTTGAATTCCTGACAGGTCACAAAAACAGATTAGCTCTTCATAATCTGACATACATGTCTTTTGTACATACCTACTGTAAGATATTTCTTTAAATTATAAGGCTAGATCTAGTCTAATAACACTTCCTTACCTTTTGTGCATTATCTTTAAAGTCTTTATCAGAGGCACACAAACTTTCTAATTTCTTTGTGACATCAAAGATTCTTTTTTTGCTGACTCTAAAAAAAATATTTATTAATTGTTGTGTAAACAGTCTACATAGAAAATTAAAGATAAAAGTTCCTAAAAATAGAAGCTCAACCCTACTTGAGTTTAACAATTGGGATTTTTCTTTTCACCAGGTCTTCCACCATTTTCTTTTCTTCTGCAGGCAACAACATGAGCAATGCTTCCCCAACCTTCTCATACCTGCAGGGTAGAAAATAATTCCCATCATAGTTTTGTATGTGTTGATAAAAAACAGAAACTTTGTATAAACCAAATAATAAGTAAACAAACACTTCATGAAATGGATAAAAGGGCCACAATAATTTCTATATACAAAAGTGATAACTGGCCGGTATCTTTGTTTACTTTCTATTTAGTAAGCGCAGTTTAGTAATCTTGTTTCAACTTTTCAGCCTTTGTTCGTTATTATTGCATTTAGTTATTTTAAATGTTTCCTTTAAAAATGAGCCAAGCTAAACTGACCTTGCCGTTCTACCAACACGATGAATGTAAGTGTCAACATTTTCAGGCTTGTCCACTTGTACCACCCAGTTTATCACAGGGAAATCTGAAAAACAAACAAGGGCACAGAAACATGTAACTCTACTTCACTGTACAATGTAAACAAGTACTTGATATATTATCAAATGTTAGATCTACATGTCGGGAGAACAACTGACCAAGACCACGCGCAGCAACATCTGTAGCCAACAGGACAGCATGCTGCTTGCGTGAAAAACTGTTGTAGACTTCCATGCGCTGGTGTTGCTTCATATGGCCATGTAAGCACAATATTGTCAAACCAGGGTGCATTTTCTTGAATGCTTGATATAAATAACGAGTCTAAAATAAAAATAAAAAGTACGTCATTAAATATATACTGAATACATCATTAAATTTATACAAAATACATCATGAAATTTATACCAAATACAGCATTAAATTTATACAGAATTCATCAAGCGCTGCTCTTAATATTATCAACAAAGATACATCAAACTCACCTGTTTACAACATGAGAGAAAAACCAAAATCTTTGAGTGTTTGTGGCTCTTGATAAATGACCATAGTGTGTTCACCTTGTCATGCATTTCACAAATAATGTAGCGCTGTAGATGCATGAAAATAATTAAGTTTTAAATCCACACAAAATCATAAATACAACGATCATTATTTACTTGCTAGTATTTGTTTATATCAATCATTGAAGTACCTGCTCTAGAGTTGTGGGTGTTGTTTCTTTAGCTTTCTCATGAACAGATACATAAATTGGTTTCTTCAAGCTGAGTCTAGCCAGATCTTTCACGGACCTGGTGAATTAATTACAAGTCATTTCTTAAAGTACTGAGCTTATAAAAAAGGGATAACTAAGAAGCACAAAAAATTGTTATCCATTTAAATAATTGTTTTATAAGAGAAAATGTAACAACAGGAAAAAACTTACTTGGTCTGAGTGGCAGAAAATAAAAGTGTCTGTCTCTGCTTAGGTAACGCTTCTAATATGGCATTCATGGTCTCTGCAAAACCCATATGGAGAATTTTGTCTGCCTCATCCAGAACTGAAAAATATAATTAATTTTTTTTTAAAAATACAAAAATAAGGCAACATAAGAAAGATTTCCCTAAGGACCAACATTAATTTATGTCCACGCAAAAGCTATGTTTTATTTCTTCTTTTTAATCTAATAAATTATATGCTGATAAATTCAAATTCACAATTGAACTAACATTCTTTTTATGAATGGCAGATAAGAAAATATCAACAGCTTGGCTAAAAGAAAAAGGCAAAATTTCAGCAATGAAGATACATTTCAAAACCAGAAAACAGCTCCACTAACTAACTTACATACCTAGAATTTTAAGCTCATCAGCTGTGAAGTTTGGTGTCTGCTCAAAGTGTTGCTGCAACCGCCCAGGTGTGCAGATTATAACATTTGTGTTGTTCATTTTTTTAGCCTCTTCTTTTAAAAGCTAAAAAAATCAATCAAAACAAGTTAACTCAAAAAAGCACATATTAATGTAATGTTTTACTTTCTTAAATCATAATCTGTTTCAATACAAATTGTTTACAGTACTAAAACTGGGTAATGAACTCACCATTCCTCCTGTGACTAGCCCAAAAGACAGATCATGGAACTTGCCAATTTTTTTTAAAACATCAAAAGATTGATAAGCCAGCTCTCTGGTAGGGGAGATAACTAAGGCTGCCATACCAAAACTTGGTGTGTAGCGCTGCTTAAAAAGGCATTCTAAGATCTGTTGACAAGAAAAAGAGGACCATGAAGAATAACAGATGAAAATCGGTTGGATTATTATTACTTTTCTAAAGAAAATGTCACATTAAAAATAATCAACATTTATACCTGTTCATGATTTAGTAGCTAAATTTAAAACATTATTCACTTACTGGTATAAGAAAAGCCAGGGTTTTCCCAGAGCCTGTCTTAGCTGCTCCAAGAATGTCATGGCCTTTAAGTCCATACATCAAAGATTCCCTCTGTATGTCAGTTGGTGTAGTGAAGTTCTGAGACTTAAGCCCTTTACCATTACGAAATTATTAAAAAAAATAGATATTTAATTGAATAATTAGTTTTCAATGAATCAATACTTTTAAAAATTTATCTCATTTTCAGCGTAACAGTAAGCCTACAATACAAAGATATGATATTAATTACCTTCCAAAGTCTTTTTAGAGATAGGAAGATCTGTAAAGGCCTTAATATCTGCAGGTAAAATTTCCTGTTAAAAGTAATGAATGCAAAAAAATTATAATGCAATATCTAGCAATAAAGTAAAGAAACATGTATTAAAAATAATATGCTTTGTGTGATTATTAAACTAACGAGAAAAATGGCCCGTTGAGGAAGGGTACAACGGGCGCTAGGCTGATAGTGCTGTCTCTTTTCTCTAAACTAAAACCAACGAAGAAATTTCTTTTGAGTTATGGAGGGGGGGGGGGGGGCTCAGACATTCTTACGCGGGGGTGGGGCTTCGCCCCTACCCGAAGAATTGTATGAAAGAAACTCTTCACGCAAACCACTTAGATAAGACAAAATTTCCTTTTTATTCAATGTTTACTCGATAATCAATGACGTCATATTACTGTGTGCACTCTCCGGATTGAGATTATTTTCTACTCTGTGCTAAATGTGTCGACGTCATACTTCGTTTTTCGAATTACTGTGCATGTTTTTATTTTGCTTGTGTTTTCTCTACAGCGTTCTTGTCAGATAGATAGATAGATAGACAGACAGCGAAACTATTATTATAGATTCTATAATTAGAATAAAATCATTATAAATTAAATGTATTCTGATCAGTGTTTAACATTGTTACCTAAAACTGAAGTCACCTTAAATTCAATAAACCAAATCAGCTTTCAACAAAACCCTGGCTAGCCTTAATAAAAAAATCTCATGGGTATAGGATAAATCACTAAACTTAAGTAATGTAATTTTTTTTTTTTTGAGAAATATTCTTGGTAATTAAAAATCAGGGGAAGGGGATTATCAAGGACTGTTCCAAACAATTTTGAACTCTTCAGTCTGAGAGCAAACTTTCCAAAAAACATACTGCCATTTTGTATGTGGGCCTATAGTAGCCTATACGGCACTATAAATAAGGGCTAAAAACAGACAGAAATTTAAGGGTTACTTATAAATAAAATCATTTACCTAGGCTAGGGCATGGGTAGTTTTGTTGTTTCAATTGTGCTTAGGATTAGTTAGGTGGATGTGTGTGTGTGTGGGGGGGGGGGGGGAGGGATTAGGAACATTGTTACATGATCATTCCATTTGTATTATTTATTAGGCCGATGCTAGCCGGAATAAGATAAGCATGCGCAATGGAGAGAAACTACAACTTGCCATTGCGGCAATGTTTTCGATGGTACTGCGCATGCGTGTGTTTACAACCGCAGAACCCTAACACCAACCCTAATCCTATCCCTAACCCTAGCCCTATCCCTAACCCTCATTCTAGCCCTAACCCTAGCCATAGGTCACTACGCATGCACAGAGCTATCTTTTGCCGACTAAGTGGAGACGCTGGTGAGAAAAATCTTCTTCCGAGTAGTCACTTTGTATTTATTATTAGGTCATTAGGATAAGGCTGATGCTAGCCGGAATAAGATACGCATGCGATACGCATGCGCAATGGAGAGAAACTACGACTTGCCTTCGCGGCGATGCTTTCGATGGTACTGCGCATGCGTGTGTGTTTACAACCGCAGAACCCTAACACCAACCCTAATCCTATCCTTAACCCTAACCCTATCACTAATCCTATCCCTAACCCTAACCCTATCCCTAATCCTATCCCTAACCCTAATCCTACCCCTAACCCTCATTCTAGCCCTAACCCTAGGTCACTATCTTTTGCCAACAAAGTGGAAACATTGGGGAGAAAAATCTTCTTCCGAGTAGTCACTTCGTTAGGATAATTACAAGCTTATTTTGTTGTATTTTAAAATCATAGGCCTAGAAGCTCTATTTTCATACATTTTTAATGTGTTATTTTTAAACCATTTTCGGACTTTTTTTGCCTTGTTTTAAATTGTTAAATTATTTTTCAGACGAATTAAACGGATCCACACTATGACACTGATGATGGTTTAGAATTTTATGAAAGGTAAACGCATAGAGCTTGATATAATTACTTCTTTAGGCTGATCAAATGTAGGCCACAGTCTTGAATTTAAAATCTCTATTTCAGGGTCATCTGTGTTTTTCTTTTTGTGACGTTTCTCTTGAATTTTCTTGAAACTTTTTTTTCTTTTCGTGGGGGCCAGCTGCTTCTTCACCAACGAAAACTTTTGCATTTTTGACTTCATTTTAAAGTTTTAAGTAGGATATGGCAAGTTTTAAATTTTTGAGTTATGTAAAATTAAGCTTCTGGATTTACATAGTGTATCAGTGTATCCACACGTGTGTAAATTACATTAATTTGCTACATACAAAATGTAAACAGGAAGTGCTATTATTTATGACAGTTAGAAACAGTCTTTAACAGTCTGAAATTATTTCCATGAATTCCTAAAATAAATTCGCTTTTTAACTTTAATGCAAGAATTATTCTTTGGTAAGAAAAGCAAATACATCTACATGCGATGGTTTATCTTTTAGAGTGTTATAGATATCTTAGCAACCATTCTTCAATTTTTAATAATGTTGAACTGTGTTTTTTTTTGCATGAAAAGTAAAAGAATCAGAGCATCCAGAAAATCTAAGTTCTCAGTTTCAAGAAATTATTCCGAGTTGTAAACACAAATAAAGAAGTGACATTTTAAGGCTTTTTCACCATTTATATAGAAACGGTGGTGAACAGTGCTGCTACATTAGCTCACTCGAGTTCAGTTAAATAATTGTGAATTTTAGGAAACAGTGAATCCAGCTCAATTTTTTTTTATTTCGGCAACTGTATATCACAGGGGGCATAACCGCATCATTACTTCGAAAAGCTCAATATTTTCTGTCTTACCTCTCTTTGTTAAAAAAACTCATTGTTTCGGTTCGATTTTAAAAAATTCGTTAAACTTTAAACTATCGTCGATTTAAAAAAAAAAAAGAAAAAAAAAAGAATGCTACAGTTCAAACACTCAAATGTCAGAGCATTAAAAATAACGGGATTGGTGGAGTAGAGTTTATCTCTATCTTTATTACTCGTGTCTTCAGTTTATTACCCAGTCGGTCTGTTATCAACTCCGTTGTCTTTGACTCAGCTGAATATATAAACATAAAGCTGTGTTGTTAAAAACAAAAGACACTCTCTTCATTAAAACCTATCATTAATTTAACATGATAAACCATGACGCATACTTTCAAGTATGCTGATTTTTTAAAGTTTATTCTAATTGGCAATTGAGTGGGGGGGGGGGGGAAGGAGGGATTAAAACACGTTTTATTTCTAAAAACATTCCATTACTTTGGTATCCGGCGTTATGGTTATACATCTAGCAGATTAATTGGTGGCAGTTGCGTTATTAATACACCCTGCTCTGATGAGTACTTGACTTCAGTGTTTAGAAACTAAATTATTTGCCTGGAACATGTTTTAAATTAACAAACCAAAGAGAAATGATTCGACAAAGTCTCGGAGTTGGTCCCAGGCTTGAGTCTCCTAGTCTACCCAGCTCTAATTAGTACCTGTCAACAGTGTTTCTTCCAGACTTTTTTCTCCGGGGGGCACTTGAAATTTTCGGGGGGGGGGGGGGGGGGCGGTAGACTTTCTTTGGGGGGGGGGGGGCGGCGGACACTGTTAAAAGTATATATTTTCTATATAAATTATATAAATTTCATTTCGTTCGGGGGGGGGGGGGGGGCGGTAAAAATTTTCCGAAGAGATGCCTGGAAGAAACTCTGCCTGTCAATGTTTGGGGTAGCTAAATAAGGTTTAGTATAATCCTGGACACATAATCTCTTTATTTCTCATTGCCACAGAAGAGACGAGCTCTACTACTTTATTTACCCTCGTGGGGTAAAAAAGCGTACTTTCCTATTTTAAAACTTACTTATGTTGGTAGTTTAATTAGCAGGCCAGTTTTAATTAGAAATTAGAGAGCAATCCGGCTACGCCTCGAACAGTTTTGAGATGCCGAAGGTCCCTGCTAGCACACGTTAAACCCATAATGCCATTGTGAATTACCGATTTACCCTCTATACAGGTAAGGGAGGTAGAGATCTATCAACGACTCTTAATTGAAATCCCCACACCCTAGGGACTACTCGAGGCCCAATTACCGCCATTAAATACCCGTCTCGCACTACTGAAGGGAAACGATCACCCCCTCTCCATTCTGTTATTTGCTCCACTTAGGTGAAATCTACCCCTCAAGTCGAAGCGTGTCAGTCCTCAGCAGTTTAAAATCTCTATTATCATTCGTGAAAGAGAAAAATAGAATCGCTAAAGTGGTGAAAGGGCAATAACCGTTAAAATCTCGACTGTGTTAAGCCAGAAACCTGAACGTGTTACTAGGACAGTTACGGATTATCGCCCTTAGAGAGGTGAAATCTTGGAAACAAGTGAAGTGGCCCTATCCATCATGGCTGTCTTTGTGGCTGAGGGCAGCTATACCGTCGCTAACTAGCAGCCACGTAAAGCCTATGGCTACCATCAGATGTGAATGTCGAGCTTTAAGGCTGACAATAAAGTAATTAGATACAGGTAGACGTTAGATCGGTGTTGGGTTGAGGGCCAGTTAGAGATTTAATTCAGTTACTGGATAGGGGGGGGGGTCATTCGTTTTATCACATGTATATTAGAATCACGTGGGTCACATACATAGCACACAGTCTACAAGGGTAGCCCACACTATACAGGGGTAGCCCACACTATACAAGGGTAGCCACACTATACAAGGGTAGCCCACACTATACAAGGGTAGCCCACACTATACAAGGGTAGCCCACACTATACAAGGGTAGCCCACACTATACAAGGGTAGCCCACACTATACAAGGGTAGCCCACACTATACAAGGGTAAACCAGATTATACAAGGTAGCCCACACTATACAAGGTAGCCACACTATACAAGGTAGCACACTCTATACAAGGTAGCACACTCTATACAAGGGTAGCCCACACTATACAAGGTAGCACACACTATACAAGGTAGCCCACACTATAAAAAGTAGCCCATATTATACAAGGGTAGCCACGCAATACTAGAGTAGCAACACTATACAAGGGTGGCCACACTATACAAGGGTAGCCAACACTAATCAAGGGTAGCTCACTATACAAACTAGTACACACTATAGAAAGTACCACTCGTTATATAAGGCGAAGCCCGTGATAGAGTAATCAATACTATCCATGGTTAGCCTATGTTATTCAATAGTAGATGAAACTATGTAAGGTAGCCCACACTATATATGGTAGCCCACACTATGTAAGGTAGCCCACACTATATATGGTAGCCCACACTATGTAAGGTAGCCCACACTATATAAGGTAGCCCACAGTATGTAAGGTAGCCCACGCTTTGTAAGGTAAGGCAGCCCACACTATGTAATGTAGCCCACACTATGTAATGTAAGGTAACCCACACTTTATAAGGTAAGGTAGCCCACACTATGTAAGGTAGCCCACATTGTAAGGTAGCCCACACTATGTAAGGTAGCCCACACTATGTAAGGTAAGGTAGCCCACACTATGTAAGGTAGCCTCATTTTGTAAGGTAGCCCACACTATGTAAGGTAAGGTAGCCCACACTATGTAAGGTAGCCTCACTTTGTAAGGTAGCCTACACTGTCAGGAAGTCCTCATTATATAAGGTAGCCCACACTCTACATAATAGCTCACACGTTGCATGAGTGAGTAGCCCTCACCGCACAGGTAGCCCACATGATCCACAGGTAGCCCACGATACAGTCACCCACTTGACACAGTGCTACCACGAGCTACACATCTACCACACGACACCCCTCAACATTTGACATCAGCACACTAGACACACGTCCCCCCCCCCTCTCCCCCCGTTGTCATTTACGGGTGTCATGGGGGTTTTTCTTTCTTTTATCACGTAATTAATTTTGCCGTTAGGGAATCTAAAACACAGCAGATGACTACATTTAAAAAATATCTAGACCTAATTTAAGTCAAATAAAAATAAAATTCTTTCTCCGCAGAAATAAAAACTAGCCAATAACACCTCTAGATCGACTTCTTACTTTAATCTGGCTAGCGTCGTTCTGTTCATTTCATGGTGTCCACGCAATGGATGGCTTGATTTGGCCGCTTCTAATGTACCCACTGTGGGGGTACACAGGGGAGGCAACAGGTGGTCAAGGGGAGATGGAGTGCTGGAGTTGTCCTCCCCTGGGGAGCGTTACACGGTCGCGGTAACGGCCCTTTGACAACCCGAGGTAATTGCTCACCTCAGTATTGGGGGGGTGGGGGGGGTTTACGGTGATTTTCAGACGTTGCTGATTGAGTTCGGGCGTGACGCGGGGGGGGGGGGGGGGGGGAGTAACCACTGGACTGAAGCAGGCTTAACACAGGTCTAATAGAGATCTAATAAGGTTTTGTAAAGATGTAACTGAGTTCAACGTTAGCTACAGTGGGAATAGAATATTAGGTATACAGATAAATTTAAGGGTATAGGCCTAATGGTTTTTATTTTATTGCTAGTATGTATACGTATATATACGTATGTATATATATATATATACATATATACATATATACATATATACATATATACATATATACATATATATACGTATGTATATAAACATACATACACACAAATATATATATCCTATATACATATATATATATATATATATATATATATATATATATATATATATATATATATATATATATATATATATATATATATATATATATATATATATATATATATATATCGCACACAAGTACTTTGGGTTTCTTTTTACCATCTACGCGACTACCCTAATCTACACCTCTACCCCTTTCAAGTCCTGTTTAAGTTGTGATGCGAGCTATATATGAGTATTTACGTGTTAACGAATTAATTGATTGGTTTCTTTTCCCATGAAAACAAGCCGGTCACGAATGTGACAATTTCTTGAAGCACTTTAACCGTTGGTGTGAAATGTTTTGAGTTTGATTCCTACTAAAAGATAACAAGGGTTTGATTCTACCTGTCGGGGTGGGGGGGGGGGGAGAGGGGGGGGATGTAGTTGACCACTGGTAGGTCTAAATGAGGAGAACTATTGACCCTATCTTCTTTGATTGAGCCGGACTTTGATCTGTTTGAACCTCTGTGACAAAATGGCGACACCCAGGCGTCACGGTCGTCTGCTACAGACTGTCTGGTCCAGATTTGGCTCTCTATCGATTTGGGTTCTTCACAGCTGAACGTCACACGGACACAAAAACCCGACCTACACAGCCCCGACCCTTTAACTAAGTCAGCAACAAAGAGAAGAAGTAGTTTAGCTACTGGTGTCCTAGGTGCGAACTGGCCGACCGA